TCTGCATGCTCTGCCTGTCTATCGGGGGGGGGGGGGTGCTCAGATTTGTGTGTGCGTGGAGCTAATGCACGACTTCAGCTTCATTGTGCGGGTATGTGTGTGGAGGGGCAAGGGAGTGCCAAGAAACAATCTGCAAAGAAAAAAATTATACAGGTATTTAACAAACCAATTTCCTTCATGTGTTCATATATATAAATTTCCATGCCAGTTGAATACGAGCGCAGTTCACCGTGACGTCATTTGAAAACGGGTCAATGTTACTTGTTCAGTTTTAATTATCAAATATATAAATATTTATTAAAATGAAAGGTGTCGATAGTAAAATGGCTGAAACACAATATCTATATACGAACACATTTAATACAAAATCGTTGTACCTTAGAAAACATATTTTCTATGGTATCATGTCAGTACGATAACATTGCAGTTATCCAGAAATGAATACTTACGTGGTTCACCTTAAATTGTCTGGCTTTTAAAGCTCATCATTTTCTTTGGAAAAGTTGCTGAAAAAGTTGAACAAAAGTTGCAGACGACTGAACCTACGTACTGTAGCGCTAACTTTTGACCAATCAGATTAGAGGTAGCGAATGGAAACACACAGACAATTGTGTTACACCGCAGCGTAAAATAGTCCGCTAGATTCGGTAGTTCACGACGAAGGTAGCTAGTAAGCGAACCGTAATTGTGTAAATTGGTTATGCGAGCAATTTGTGCCAACTAATCCAAAATATATTGACGTAAACCTTTTAAAAAGAAGATTATCAATAATGTGCGCATGCATACATTTGTATGTGCTCTTTAGCGCACTACTTCCAATATGGCGGGTAATCCAAACGTTAAGTTGACGTACCCAGAAGATGATTGAGCTATCAGCTGGAGCTGAAATAATATGACCTCGCTACATGTTGCAGTGTCCCGGTTGAAACAATGGCGTTCGATTACTCAGCGTCAGTGAGGTAAACACATTCTTAAGTTCAACAACTTATAACCCTGATCCAGTCTTAGTTCTGTGCGATGGATGGATGGCCTCTGCAAAGCCAACAACCCGTTCGCCGCAGCCCAATCAACCGGACTGTCTGTACTCAATGCTGTAGAACAACTTGAAGTTCACGGCTTCAAAATAATAATGCAGGTTATGCATCTCGGAGAAACCATCCAAGACCTACTACGCGTATTTCAGACCTGCCCAGTGTAGTAATGGTAAAATATTGGCGACTTTAACTTCTTAAAAGATTGGAAATTGACTCTTACAGTACAAT